ACTTCAACCGAAAGCGTTCGCATTCACGGTTGACGATGCCCACGTGCGTAAGAAAATCATCATCTTCGTTCATAATAAGCTTCAAACATCGATAACGAGTATTAAATAGTGACGAGTTGTCTCCAAAGTGTTGGCTTAAAGTCTGAACAGTCTCAGAAAACGAACAATCTCGTGGGTTCAAAGGCAGGATCAAATTACAGTACTTATCCAGCTCACTTGCGCCCAACTTTCGAAGTAGCAGCCGAACCTTCCAAGCATCATCTTGGTTGGCGAAATCAAATTTAAATAAATCTTCATAACGCCGGAACCACATGTCAAAAGTGACATTTGCATCAGGATCATAATGAAATTCAGCTATGCTATTTGCGATGCCGTCGACCGATGGAGCTGTGGTTGCATTAGATGAGCTGGGGTGTGTGGAAGGGGAAATCTTCATGTCTGTCAACATCTGCATCAGTTTCAGCTGCTGCTCAAGTAGTAATTCAAGTTTGGCAGGATCCATATTTCCAAAAGCACCGTCGCCACTGATAAGTTCGTCACTTAGTATGCTTGAGGCTATTACGAGTTTACCTTAGTCGATAAACGCGAACGAGACTTTTGCCAGCTTCCAGGGAGGCTACCTTGAATACCCAAAATCGAATAGAAGGCTTTGTAAGCGTAGAAAGTATATTCTACAAACACCCAGCAATCACAGTACAATCAAGCATACAACTCTCGTTTATTTATACAACATAGGAACGTCCTTGAGACAGTTAAGAAAATAGCATACTAAAATACACTGCAGCCAATCACAGCCATGGATTTTGCTGGTGGGAATTGAAATCTCAAGGTCATCTGATCAGCCCATGCTGGCAAAACGTGAAACCCAAAATACGGCATCATCAAGCGAATTTTGGGGATCTAACATCCCCAACAATTCGGACCTCGCACTTTCTGGATGTTTGTAGAATACAGGTTCTACTTCATATCAAGTCTTCTTCCTTTACTCAATTGGGGATTAGGACAATCGGACTGGAGTAGCCTGTTGTGTCACCGGATCCTCGCTCTCGTTTTCCGACTAAGATAAACCCGTAATAGTTCAAGCACATCAAAATGACATAGTTACGTGTGTGTTTAACATCCATCCAGTCACAATATCCCTGATACAATGTCATAGAATTTGACTAATCTGATTATGAATTTGTAACAACAAACAGTGTTTTGGGGCAAAGTCAACATCAGCAACAAACTCAAATTATAAAGACTTATTCAGCAATGTTCAATCTACTTGAAATTGTTATTTCTAACCCTGATTTTAAATCAAAATAAACTCAAATAAAAGATGCATTAAATCACGGGTTGTTTAAATAGTTATTTATATAAAAACATGTGAACATTTGACAGATCCAACATTGTCATTTGTTGCATATCTTAAAAAGAGCTTTTTTGCAATCAGTTTCAAAGTTTTTATTTTTAGCAAGACATATTTTCATTGTTCATTTTACGTAATGAAAGATGTTAGTGATTCGAATTTTGAGATTTTACTGAGAAATTTTTAGGAAGACTGTTCTCGATTTTGATTGGCTTATCAATATTCGATATCTTTTTATCCTTGTTAATACTTCATGTCCGAAGGGTATTTCAAAAAGTTGTCACACAGTAAGATACGTTTAGCTGAATTAGACTTATTCACTTAATATCAGTGATGACGAGTGTTGTGTAATACGAAATGAAGAGTAGTGATATAATTTAGTGTACTAGATAAAAGTTATGGAGACTGTCAGAGTTTGCTTAGATTACCATAGGAATCATGTTAAACATTCGAAGTCATCAATCAATCATTATTAGAGCACCATTAGAAACCTGGAAGCACTGGTTGAGAAGACGTGACCAGTGGAGTTCAACCCTGTCAGGTGTAGGCAGTAACTACCAAAGACAAATGGGCGAGGTCGCGCAAAATCAGTAGATCAACCAGAGTTAGTCATTGACACCGCTGGATGCCCGGCCCAGTGGTCCGATGGTAAGGCGTTCGCCTACAATGCCAAAGGTCCCGGGTTCGAATCCTGTGAGGAGCAGGAGTCGTGGATGCGCACTGCTGAGGAGTCCGTCCCATACTAGGCAGAAACGGCAGTCCAGTGCTTCTTCCAGGTTTCTAATGGTGGTGTAACAATGATCGATTGGTTGATGATTTCAAATGTGTAAAAACGCAAACCTCCAAAGCTGTGCCCCAAAATAATGTTATAGTCTTATCAGTAACGGTTACCATTATGGTTACTGTTTCAAATTCAATTTCTCTTATGATCTTTGATCACTTTTGTTTGGCTGGCAGTATTTTTAGTTTGTAAAGTTTTTTGTGTACTTGAAAATCATGCTTTCATTGAATTGTATCATTTCAAGTATTATTTTTGTTTTGAATGTCAAGTCCTCTCTATAAATTGTCTTCTTCCGGTGTTAGTGGCCAACTGTTCCAGTGTTTTGTGCTAACTATCATTATCGAGTCGGTAATAGAACTGTTCAGATTAGAATCACTCGATCGATACTTAATTTGAAATAGAACACAATAAAATTATATGAGAAAGCTTCATTGTGTCATTAAAAAATTCATCCGTCTTTAAGATTGAATCAGAATAAACGGAAAAAAGAACATAAATTACTAGACTTGTCAAAAATTTGAAAATAATCTCAATCCACATTTGACTAGGACATTTAAGGTATAATTCTCTCACTATCGTCTAGGTAGTCAATCAGAACTATGTTCTATTGACTGATTGAAAAAGCATGTCACCCTGAATGGAGCATAGGCCGCCGACCAGTGTTCTCCAGCTTACTCTGTCCTGGGTTTCTCTTTCCAATTCTGTCCAGTTTTTATTCATTCTTCTCATATCTTTTTCCATTTCTTGGAGTAATGTGTTCCTTGGCCTTCCTCTTTTCCTTTGACCTTGATGGTTCCATGTGAGGGCTTGTCTTGTGACTCAGTTGGGTGCTTTCCGCAATGTGTGTCCTATCCATTTCCAGCGCTTCTTCTTAATTTCCTCCTCCACTGGAATCTGGTTTGTTCTTTACAATAGTAAAATCTCAAGATTCACAGTTCATTTTATTTTGGACTCTTCAATAGGATATACCTGTATTCAACTGTTGCTATTCATGTTGAATTTTGAACTCTGTGACTTTTGTTTTAAACAACAAACAGATTATCTACTGATACATTGAGTCCAACTAGTTACTAATCAATCTGTTCAACGGCTTTCATCATGAGACGTCATAACTCTTCTGAAAGAAGACCTTCTAACTCACAGAGCAGAGTTAAAATGGTTCGGATTTATTTTTCTGGTTAGCGTTATTGTAGCGAGTTACTATTTTATGGGATAGGGTCGCCAACCCCATGTCCAACTCTCCTCCTTTATCCGGGCTTGAGACCAGGCGGAGTTAACTATGTTCTATTAGTAGAATTTGTCGTTTTTGTTAAGGACTTGTTTTGTCCTATGTAGGTTTTCATTGAAATAAAGTTTTCATTATGTTTTTCGAAACATTGTTTTGTGTAAACTTTTGCTTGATTCTGTTATATTCATAATATTTGCTTTGTATTTATGAGCTAAGTTATCGATCGACGCTCCCGACACATGATTCCAAATAAGTCAAACACTTCATTCTACTTTATTTATTTACTTTCATTTACCTTCAGTAAGTATCATTATCACACTGAATAGTCTTAGATGTACGTAAGCCAAGTATACTTGACAATAGAAATAGCTTTATTAGTGTTTCATTTAGATAAGGAGGTTTCAAATCAGAAATAACTATACATAAGAAATCAGTTGTCATGGTTCGAATCTCCCCACTATTGGTGTTAAAAACTGGAGTTGATCAGTCTCATTTGGCGTCTATGAGTCTTGAGCAGATCATTTTGATGCCATCGTTGGTAACCAACAGGAATCTAAAATAGGACGTTGTAGGATTTAATTTGTCCTACAGATGTAATTCTAGATCGGTAAACGCAATATTGGCGAGCACAGAGTCAATGGGAAAGCTATAATTATACATAACAAGATCAACTTTTGCTTTAAACTTTATCTGTTTCTAAACATAAAAACAATTAGATTAGTACAATAAATAAGGAAATTACAATTATCAAGTAAGACGAGCAAACGTACCGACCAATATAGCGTGTCTTTGGAAATGAATAAAGTTATGAGTCACATCAATATAATAAGATAATAATGACCTTTGATTAGTAGGTGAGTTACATCAAAGAAATTTTACAGACACGTCAGGTCAGATCACGTGGTGGGCGCTTAAACCACAATTTGATTGGTTAGTTATGACATAACTACAATTAGTTATGAAAATAACTAACAGACGTAACATAAGTCCTGTATTCCACTGTGTTACGAATGTACATAAACGTGTCAATTTGCTATGCTTGAATTATTATGAGTTTACCTTAGTCGGAAAACGAGAGCGAGGATCGAGGATCCTGCGACACGACTTGCCACCCTAATCCAATTGTCCTAATCCCCAGTTGAGTAAAAGAAGAAGACTTGATATGAAGTAGAACCTGTATTCTGCAAGCATCCAGAAAGTACGAGGTCCGAATCCAAAAGAGAATCAGCATCCCGGACTACGGACCATGGACCGGGTCCTGGTCCTGGTCATAAAACGTTACAGATAATGTGCATTTATACATTTAGGTGGAATAGGAAACAGCATAGAAGTATGTGACATTGACAGTTAAGACTACCAATAGGAAACAACATTTGAAGTGACATTGATAGTCAGGACAACCAATAAGAAACAAGATTGGAGTATGTGACATTGATATCTAGGACGATCATAAAATTGACCATTAAGAATTAACGAATAGGAATTGACCAATAATTCTCTTAGTATAATGGATGAATATCCTAACACACTGCTAACCACTATCTGACTCTACTTAAAATTCTGCATACTAAAATCTACAAACGCTTAACACCAACTTCAAATTACTAAGACATACCTACAAATGATAAAAAGCATGTTTTCAAAGCTGAATACTTGAAATGACTAATCACTAAAGTAAAAAATATTTATACTTCTTCGAATATTGAAATTGATATGAAATATAAACTTCAAGCATTCTTTTAATAGCACGGCACTATCAAAGTCATAACTGATTTTTAATGCTGCTGATTAATACAATACCACTTCCATCTTCTACGAATAAGTTTAGTGTAGCACAAACGAATATATTGAATGCAAAACACAAATTTAATGAAACTATGTATCATACACTTTATTAGACTTGATAACATTCAGTACAACTTGAATGTTTGAATAATAAGCCCAGTGGTCTAGAGGTTAGATGTTTAGCGCAGAATACCAAAGGTCCCGGGTTCGAATCCTGCGGGGTGCAGGATACGCACTGTCACCGATGAGTAGTCCCATACCAAGACGAAACGGTCGCACTTTCAGTGCTTCCAGGTTTCCATTGGTGGTCTAACAATGATTGATTGATTGACTGACGATTTTAAATGTGAAATGGAAGTTTACAATCAAGAAAATATCGGAAATCTCATAAACTAACTAAGCATTCATCTCGTTTTGATTTTTTTCCATAAATTAACTTCAATTGAAATTAATCATGACTATTTTCTTGCTATGTTTTCTTTTGTTTTAAAAGATGTTTTATATTAAACCGTTTGCACCTCAGTGCAGTGATATTAAATGTGGTCCACATCAACATTGTGTAGAGAATATCAATAAAACTTTAACATGTGTTTGCAATGTATTTTATGCTCCGGAAAATCTTGATCCCAAGGTTCCACTTGAATGTCATTGTAAGTTATTCTATTAGTCATAAGTTAAGTAGTCGTTTCAATTAAAATTATATCATACTGACAAATTTTTTGTGACTTTTGAAATAATATTGAGAAAGTAAAATAGATTGTTGGTCATTTTAGATTACTTTAAAAAAAATGTGTGTATCCATGAATTAGTTGGATTCACGGTTAGAAGTTTGAATTTAGGATCAGGGTTTAAAGTGGGAGTTTTAAATGTGCGGAGCCTAAACCTGAAAGCGATAAGTTTTGATGTAGCCGAACGGCTGCTTCAGTAGAAAGGTGAAGAAAAGGAGAGAAGGTCTGTTTGAATAAACAATCACATGAGCAAATATTCGTCTATATATATGTGTTCATTTACTGCGAAAAGGAAAGCCATTTCTTAACCAATGATATGTATTCATCCTTTAGCATATTTCTGATAGTCATCAGATTGGCTTTCATTTGGTTACAACTAACAGGTTCAGTATATCAATAAGAACTTAGTGTTATGGCAAGAATTTCTGTTTAGGGTTGGGAGTACTGTGGAACAATGCTTTGTAGTCAAATGTATCAATACTTATGCAGTCAATACTTCAATTTTAAATCTTAAGTTCTTCAGGGTTACCTTCATGAAATCTTAACTCATGGTCTTTATTGTTTAATCTTGCTCATGTTAACAATTATAAGTGTCCTAGATACTTAACTTTCGCATAAAAATTCAGCAGTCACTTTCTTAAATCCGATAAGTTTGTTAGTAAAGTACACTTTTATTACAATTTACAATGTTTAACATTTTAATTTGAGATGAGGAAGAAAATATGAAGCTCAGGTGGATGATTGTCATGAAGTTTTGTTCTCTGAGCTGGATGTTTTGGTTATGGAGCTTTCATTTTAATTTAAACTGAACTCTAAAGGATTTATAATATTTTATGAACTTGTAGTAGAACACTTCTACGAAGAAAACGTAATTGGTCAGAAGGAAACATTTATTATTGTACTCCTTTTGTTTAACTGTACTAAAAACACTTACTTACGCGCAACTTTTTGTTTTTGCGTTGCTGTCATCATTCATAACTTGCTGCTCCCTATGTCGCACACTTTCTCCTTCAAATATATTCTTTACCCTGGATTTACTGATATTCCGCTGACGGGCTAGTAATTAGTAATTAGTGGTGATCATAGTCAATCTCGATTCGATCACCACTAAAAACTGTTAGATAGGCATACTGTCTAACAGTTGTGAAATCATTGCAAATTTTATTAGATATAAACACACTCTAGAAATAGACAGTTATATAATAATTCCTAACTTAAGTTACAATATTTTAGACTATCCTGTAATTGAAATTTCACAGAATTTCGATTAGCCTTCGTTGACATACATACACGTCATGAGATTTGAACTGATAAAGTCATTTTATCACAAATTTCTTTCAGACCAATAAAATTTAGCTAGCACTGGAACCTAGGATGTGATTTGTGTCCTGTTTAGGATTTGGTATTTGGATACACTTGTCTCACCCCGTTGTTGACACTGACTATCTGAATTTATTAGTTAAATGGATAAAGCGTTAGTCACAAAGTGAATATCAGCTCTAATATTTGAATGTTACATCCGTATGATGAGGCGTAAATAAGACGGAACCTGCATTCTAGATTTTGTAGTATCCACTCAACGATTACATATACCAACATAGACTGACTGAATCCACTGTTGTTCATCAACAACAAGGAAGTGAAAGCCTTTTCAAATATTAATACTGTATAGTTGTTTCATCCTATAATGTGACTCCTCAGAAGTACATCAGCAATCGAATCCAGGACATTCAAACTTGTGTATATCAATCAGCAATCAACAAACACATCAACATTGACCCAATTTATCAGCCAATCAAGAAAATCATAGGTGACATAGGATCAAGAAACAGATCAAAAGGGAAATACCATCAAAACAAAGGTGCAAAAAACAATAGGTTCCAGGTGAACAGTAACCAATCAAGATTAGCAGAACAAGCTGCAGATCAAACGTTATGATGATGATGATGATGATCATGAAAGCTCCACAATGAAATCATCCATCTCAGAGAACCGAACACCATCACCACATATTGTGTAATATATATATATATATATATATATATATATATATATATATATATGTATATATATATATATATATATATATATATATAATTAATCCGAGTTGTTTTAGGTAATATATTGTATTATACAGTGTATTTTAATTCTGCAATTTTTTTCCATTTCTCTCTCTCTCTCTCTATTGTTTCTACAATTCACAGTTAGTTGGATTACATTAATCATAGTATTGGCTTTTTCGCTATTGGCTTTAATTTGTATAATATGGATTATGTATGCTATTTGTAAAGCCTGGTCAAGAAGACGAAAGTATGAAACGTTTCAACCATCAAATCATGATCCAGCAGAAACTGAATCGATTAAATCCGTTGGAAGTCGTGCATCAATACCTTATAATACAAGATCAGTAAATGATATGTAGCTATTGAATTCAAAAATGATATTTTTTTCTTTTCATCATGAAGTAAAAAATAAAACGTAATCATCGTTAAGAAATTGACGATTACTATGTAATTTATTGTTATGTTGTAAGATAACCACATATTTTGTGCATCAATCTGATCAAGTATATAAAATCATTGTACATTCAATGATGAATTACTTGTTTGCTATTGCAATCAATAAGTCAGTCATTGATAGTGGCCATTTAAAAAAAAAACTAGTTTAATTTATGCATACAGTTTAAATGTTGTTGTGTTCAATTTGTCATTACAACTATACACTTTCAATTTTCAATTTTTCATTTCTTTAATGAGTCATTGTTTTCATTTGTATCCTCCATAATTCACTAGTATTGCTTCAATTAAAAATTATAATTTTAATGAAGAATGGATTAACACTTTGAAAATTATTGATTAATGTCTAAATCAATGTATGTCACCGAAATAAATGTCGGTTGCAGTTAAAGTGACTAATAATAGCCCCGCAGTGTTTTTTTTCAGGAAATACGTTAAACAGTTTTTACTCATAACAGTTGGAAATATATAATTTTTATGTCAGTATTAGCAAAACTTCAAAATATAGTGCTAATTACTCAATACACAGTCTTAAAAGAATTCATTCTGAACAACATGACTGAGCAATGTTCCTCGATCAATATTATATATATATAGGCTTTGAATGAGTTTATGATTTCATTGATTTTTGTTTTAAAATTCACATGAGTTTTCAATATTTCATGTTTCAAAAACGACAATTTGTTTACTTTAGTTTATATATTCAGTTAATTTCAATACATGAGCCATTAATCATGCATTAAAATTATTTTGAAACAATCAACATGAATCAAATTACCACAAATTACCACAATAATAATAATATTATTTTTTTTCTCTATGTATTGTCTACCGATCACATGTGACTCTGTTTTGATTTGATGTATAATAGATGGAGGGAATTCAAACATTGGATACTTGTTAACTAGTCTCACATTTATAACTATGTTGACTGTAGTATGACAAACATTAGGTGATATTAACAAACTATTGATCTGATTTAACTTTATTTACTCACTGTAAGTTGATCATGTTAGTAAAAACATTGAGAGTAGAACATAAATTGTATTTAGGACGTGTATATTTCAAACAAGTCGATAGTAAATGTCAATCGAACAATCAGGAATGCAGAAGCAATTCTGACATTACGGATGATGGAGTGAGATTGTAAGGCTATGCGATAAGGTACAAAAAACAAGAGATAGAGAGATAATATACATGATTAGCCATTTCAGTGTCGTAACACCATATAATACACAACTAATAGATTCCACGGAATCATCCTACTGCTGCGTTAATAACTGATTGGAAGAATATACCAGCCCTTACATGTACTATAGCTCACGAAGATATGACGATCTAGGCGATGTTGCTACTACCATACATGAAGTTCTAATAAACACTATTAGCTGGGAACTGCAACACTCCTCCCCTAAATTTTAGCAGACAGGATACAACTGCACGGAGTGGTTCCACAAGCAGCTCGTTGCAGCCATCAGAAGTTCAGAACTGACTGAACATACGCATGACTCCACGAAATGGGGTAAGAACTGGAAAACGTCGTACTTGGATTATTTTCTAACAAATGAACAGGACCCACTTGTTGATACCCATGTCCACACAGCAACAATAAGTAGTGATAATGGTGCAATTATGTTAAAAATGTTCACAGACAAAATAATTTGGAGGGGTGAGAACGCTGGCTTCTTTTCCTGTATCAGAGCAAACTACATGACCATGACAGAGTGCTACATTCTCTGTAGCCACGAAATTCTCCTTGAAGGATTCAGATAGCAATTATAACTTAACATTGAGGAACAGATGCAAAGCCAGTGTTCGAGGAGATAGGAGGCGTTTGCGAACCGAGCCAGTAGTCAACGTACTGTCCAACTCCAAATTTATCTTCAGACACGAGACCTAAATAAAAGCCGCAAACTAGTGTGTCTGTACTCTTCAAAATACGAGTGGGTAAGATCTTACGAGCTTATAAATAGCTATAAAATGTAAGGACATTTCTACAACTAGTCGAATCAGGTGCCTATGAGAGCAAAACAAATATCCGATGACATTACATCTCAGCAACGAAAGTATCTTCGCCCTTCTGGGTAAGTTTTGCGTTAACGAAGATGGCTCGGAAAATTCGCAAATAAATATGCTAGCAACTTACTGGGAGCCGTAATGTATGGCTTCTGCGTAGACAACTGTTAAGTGTCCTTTCCTGATAATGAAGATATGAAAAAATTTGTGATACAACTGAACAGATAGGCAGCCCGAGGAGACTTCAGTTTGAAAAGTGGGTAACTAAACCAAGACTAATAAGAGAAGTTTTTCCATAAACCGATAATTTGGAAACAATAGTTGATATGCCTTTGAGTCGAGGGTCCTTCCACCAAGCCTTTAAGAGTGAGTGGATCACCGCATGTGACAAGTTTATGTTCCTAGATGAAATACCTCTGACTAGGGGAGAAAAATTTTTTACCGTTTCCTCTATGTTTGATCCACTGGGTCTAGTTGCTCTAGTTGCTCTAGTTGCCTGTTAGGTAACTTCTACATGACCTTTGCGAGTATCACAATAGATAGGACCAGTCTCTGAGTGCAAGTTTTGCGTCCTCATGAAACGGTTGACTTCAATTCATGCAGAAGCCAGCGCGAATCAACATACACAGAAACACTTGGAATGAGGATAGGAAGAAGGTTCGGACAAATTCGTTGCAAATGTTATGTGAATCTGTCAAAGCCAGTTGTCGTATAGTCGTCTACTCGTGTAACATTCCTAAGAAAATGTCGTGTATAGTGTTTTGCTGTACAGTAAGACTAGGGTTGCATCCATTACTCCGTAACTGGGTCCACATTAGAGTTGGCAACGGCAGTACTGAGTACCGAAGTGAGTGAGGTTCCGAACGGAAATCTTTCACTTGTTTTGTCAGATTCACTTTCTGAATGATTCGCTGATCGTCCTGTACTGAGCAATGAATAAAAAGAACATATACACATGTCCATGTTCAATTATCTATCCGTTATTCATCAGCTGGTGTCAGTAGGCCAGTGGATACATGTTAGATCTGGCAAAAAACCTGACTAATGAACATTAAGAGACACGCGAAATGAGTTAGACTCTAAAACCTGGATATGAGTCCCTCATTCTTGTCAAACAATGAGTCCACTGATTTCCCAAAGATCTCCTGGAAAGAGGTTCTCAATAAAAGACTTCTCATGAACAACATAAGCATCAAAAATCACGACCTCTACCCGGTTCTGTAACATCACTCGGAATGAATCAACCTCATTAAAGCAGCAACATTTTTTAGAAAATAGATAATCTATATAACTGTCACCAAAAACGTACCATCAAATGTAGGCCATCTGGCTGGAGTAATGTATTAGCTCCATTGCAAAAAGAAGTTTGCGGGAAAGCTATGCAAGGACTTCGATAAGATTGAGAGGATGCAACTCCGATAAAAGAACTATGAAAGCTGTCTCCCATGCTTATTAAAGGATTACTTTGGGTCAGTCGGTGACTAAACTATTTGGACTATACACTCTCATTGATGTATACTGTGATGGTAACGGACCATTACTTGGTAACAGAGCTTATCACTCGACACTACCACCTTCTAGAAGGCAACACTAGTACTTTGGAAGTGTTAGCTGACATATTTAGGCGTTATTAGATTGTTAGGGGAGCCAGTGTGGTTAGGCGGGTCGAAGATGAATGCACAAATGTACATGTGTGAGAGTTAAATTGTGTTGGCAGATGATGAAACCTTTTCCTGTGTGTCTAGTTGGTCCTTTTTCTCCTCTGTGAGTATCAACTATTTTAGGTCGCTAATGTTTCTCTTAGAAAGGAATCAGGAAAAAAGATACAGATGTATATCTACGTATCTTCAAGTACGTGTTGTATGTGTATGCGATTGATAATTTCATGACATCAATGAGAATACGTCGGCATTTCACCCCTCCATTGGTTAGCCGTGGAGGTAGAGTTTGGAAAAGGCTGATACGCTCTGTTAGAAAGATCTCATCAAAATTACTAACAAAGGAGTCCTAACCGATGACAGCTTAGCCATCTGCTTTACGGAAATACAAAGAAATGTAAGTAAACGTGTAGTTAATCCACTATTACGAAGAGCACGCGATCGGTTTAATAGAAGCATGCATTTAACTAATCAACTGTGACAGTGACTGCTTTATTACCATCTGCACGCCCAAACTTCCCGTTTGTGCGACTGCCATTTTGTCTCCACTGTCTCTGTGATTTCTCCCTTTTATGATACGATTTCGGTATTCTTTCGATACCCAACTAAAAGCTTATGTTCCTGACCTCATCCAGATAGGTCTTCTCGGTCCCTGAAGTGTGCAGCTGTCAGGTGCAGCCACTTAATAATCGTGAAGTTCAATGGACCACTTAGTCAGGATACGCCAATTGCACTGGTGGCTTGGAAGCCTAAGCTTCGGATCGGTTAACGCCACTGTTGTATACCAAGTCCATCGACAACGTCCAAACGGACAACCCAGGCACACCTGATTCGGATTTTTGAGGATAATTTAATCCAAGGTCACTGAGGCGTCAGAAGGATTTTTCGTCAGCTTATGAAAATCTAAAGGTACCCTTATTGGGGAGTTTACCTGTCGTCATATCCTAGCCCTTAGACACCCGGCATTGTTTGACATGGGTGCTGTCCATTCTAAACATTGTGTAGCATCTTGATATTTGTTTTTGCCCGAAATGGCCCTACTTTCCAGAAAGCTTCCCTCCCACATCGCAATATTAATTAAACCTAGGTCTTACGTCCCTGTCTTGACTCAACTGGAGTGTTTATAAGAATCCGTGGTTTCTTTTGTGCATGAGCTCTGGCTGTCACTACCGTGGTCTTCTTTTTGGTCGATCCATTGTTGAGCGAACTAAGTATACTGATGGGAATCAGTGGTTTATTTTCGATAAGGCTTGTTGCTTGCTGTTCGTTATTGTTGTTGGTTTAATAACTCTACATTGTGTGAAAATACGTCATAACCATTATAGAAGTGACTTACACCCGTAGTACTGTCTAGGAAATGCAGTGCCACGGTGACAGTGAACCCAGCTATTACAGCAGTATAATGTTGAGCAACTAAATAGATGACGGGGTTCGAAGCTAAACCATACAAAGACAGACTTCAACACTTAGAATTGGAAGAGCTCAGTAATATCAGAATCGGGAGTTTCTTTGGTGATGGCATAAAATAAATTAAATCATTTCAACATGGGCATCTTCCTAAAACATCCACGTCTCTCGAGGTAATCCTCGGACAACTGCACGTAAAGAGCTAACAGCAACGTTCGCGCAGTAGTAGTCGTCTCAATGTGGAATGATATTCTAGCCGAAGTTGCCGCAGTACTTCAATGGATGGCTTCATGACAGACCTGATAAACACGAACTCACTACAGATTATCATATCCTTCTTGCACCAGCTGTGGTTTCCCATGTCTCGAAACTTGCTTGTTGTTATCACTTTCATCTTCTTAGATCACTAACCTATTGTCTTTATTTGCTTTTCTTTGCTTTCACTGCTGCCCTAGCATACGATCATCATTACTAATTAATTAACTAAATTGTTGCTGAATTAACTCTCAAATCTTCTTATCAGCATGAAAACCTTATCCTTATTATTCTCCATATAGCAACTAAATGATCTCTAGCCTCTTAAAATCAAAGCTACTGAAATCTAGAAACCCTAGGGCTCTGCGACGAACCTATTCTCTCAAATCATAGGACGTAAATAGCTACCATTTGATTAGAATTAGTGCAGTTCAGTGGCTACACTGTTGTCCGTTCGACATTAACAAATAACTGGAAACATGCCGTAGGAACAGGAATCGGGCGTAAAGAAATCAAGTAGTTTATACTGGTTAGTGAAATAGATATCGAATAAATTGGATATTGAACACTGGTAATCGGTCTACTCTATAACTAAATGCGTTACAAGCCAAGGTCCAGCAACAAGTGTGGGTAGCCGTCACTTCCTTAGGTCTTTTAGGAAATGATATTGTCGATGTTTTGTGCATAGTATTTATAAAATATCTCAGTGTGTTATATCACATAAGTATATACTTTTTCTGACTCATGTAAACTACGTAGTTTACGCTCACGATCACTATGTAGTTGATCAATACTTTGAGGCACTCATTGTGAATAGAAAGTAAACTTAGAATAATTTTTATTGCAGCCTAAAGTTTTTGTCTCAATGAAACACCTTAGATTTTCCTACAATTCACAGTGTACATCATACTCTATTATAGACCAAGAAAAATTTATGTATCAAAATGAATTGCCCAATTAAAGAAGGATTCGAAAATAAAAGCGAACTTCGGATAAATACAGGGGAGATATGATGAAAAATTTTGGTGCAAATTCAGGTGACATTGCACCTAAATACCTCTTTTTTCACCGAATCTGGAGAATTAATAAGACATTTCACCTAAATTTTTCACAAGGAATAAAACGTCTATAAATTTGCACTTTCATAGTTGTCCAATTATCTACGTCGGGTGCGAAAACAGACGCTTCGTCGTCATTTCCCCATCCTTGTTTAGTCGGGGATCTGGACATGTTTCATTTAAAATCTCCAAAAGCCTGTTAGTCATGTAAATCTCGTTCTATGGTTATACTTCACTAAATTGGTATAAATTTTGAATGCCATTTAATGGCATATATGGCACATTTAGATGATCATCATTTATTAGGGATTATTCAGACAATAAAGTATATCAATTAATAACTTATAGTATTTCAGATTCATGCATTGCAAATATTCCAAATTTTCCACATGATTCATCGAGTCAATTCACGTATATTCCATATATTGTAATTCAGAAATCAAGCGTATGATTGTGTACGTGACCTTTCTGTTGATCCCAAACATTAGCTCCTCATTCTGTCATGTCAAATCATATTTCCACAATTTAGTCTTTCTTTTTATGATTACTGCCAGATTGCTTCGATTTTTGTTATTTTCATCCCGTCATACGAATCGCGTATATTTACTTGAGTCAATGAATGTCTGTACTAGTCTCTTTGTTGATGTCTGTCTGCCTGAGATAGCGTTTAAGTACTGTTTGAGCTGGCAGTAGTATTTGGCTATTCTACCTAACGTGGATAAAGTGGATTTAGAACATCCTACTACTTGGTTCTGTGAACAAGTCCATGAATTGCTAGACCACCGTTTCATGCGTCTTTTTTCTGTGTTCTTAACAATGGTAAAGAATCAGTGATGCACTGATTATCGAAATGAAACAAAAAAGCCATGATTAAATTGAAACCGAGTCTTGTGACAAAAGTATAGCATTACCCACTAATTCACGTAAAAAAGTCTAACACAGGAATAAGTCATCTTCGAGATACCTTGTTGGCAGCAAAACATCATTGCCTAAAATTAGTTTTGCTGTCTATATATATATGAAACCGTCGGTTACGAATTTAAGATTCCGTAAATTTTTCTGATTTGATTTTTTAGTCTGTTCATTGTAATTTAAACTGCCAAACCGAAGACTCATTCTTTTTTAGAGCTTTGTAACTTGGTATTTTTAGAGTTATTACGAAAATATGTCGTGTAACAGGCACTACTTTTTTATGAGCGTAACAATACTGTAACTAACGACGTTAGATGGGGGAAATCTATCATAAATAATGTATTATTTGTCTGGAAATAAAGCACGTTGACGTTGTGCATCGCATAGCTTATAAGTAAAATGTATATAGAATTGGACATATGACCAATCAATATTTTCTAACATGTGTCTAGTTTTGAAAAAGACTTTTTTTTGTTGCTTTCTTTCAGTCAAGGGATAGCTATCAGTTCTTAGGACATTGGCAAATATTGTCCAGTGAATATATATAAACATATAGGCTTCCATGCTATTTCGACAAGATGAGGTGCTATTATGAATTGTTGGGTAAGTATATCATAAAGTTATTATAACTATACTAGGTGTCCCACAAAATGTTGAACAAGTTGATCTCAAGAAGGCTTACTACAAATTATCATTACAATGGCATCCAGACAAAAATACTACAGAGGATACAACTGTAATATTTCAAGAAATTCAAGAGGCTTACAAGTAGGATTATTACTATTAATTGTCTGTTTAGTCGTTCATTATGAATATTGTTTTGATAATAATATTGTTTCAGTAAGGCCACTTGAAGAGCGGAGATGATACGTTGAAAAAGTGTCATAAAAAAGACTTGTGTGACCGGCCTCAAGCAGTTGTCCCTTGGGCTCTGCGGTCACGCTCCAAGGTCGCGAAGACTAACACTAATCTGACTTCCTTTCCAGGTTCATCAAGAAACACCGTTCCACGATATGGGCACTAACATCCACCGTCATACCCGTAACAGCACACGAGACCAAATTGGTCTCAACCAAATCCTTCTTACACCTTAATAACGCTCTTATCTCCACGACCAACCCTTCTTTGATTCCTTTGCTGCTTTGCCCCATTAATGCAAACATTATGAGTTCACGAAACATAATTCCTGGTCTCTTGAAACGACTCTCTAAACTACATGTTGGGGCTTTGAATATCCGAACCTTCTGCGAAATAGGACATCAGACTTCCTTGGCTAGGGCTGCGTCTACGAAACGCGCATACAGGATCCGAGTCGAATCATTTATTTGACTTCACCTCGTCCAGATAAAGAACCAACTTAGTTTACACTCCATGTATTTGGAAGCCCTGCTGCTACTCTCTGTGGCCCCGCTGGTGTAGGTATAGCATTAAGTCCCAGGGCAGAACTAACTCTCTTTGACTGGATCCCAGCGAATAGTCGCTTCTGAGCTGTCCGACTGAACGAGACAGCAAGGACTTGTAAAGATAGGGATACGCGCCGTTGCGTCTTCGTCGTCTCTGCCTACGCTCCTACTGGCTGCATCTCAGACGAGGTAAAAGATGAGTTATCAGAAAGCTTTCTGACTTTCAAAGATTTAAGGGGCTGGTGACTCCACTGATCAAGTAGGTAGACTGAGCGATGCCGAAAGACACCTGGGTGGATCTTATTGTGTCACCGCTGATCAAACAGACAGATGGGAGACTGCCACTCATTCTGAAGCACTTTTTTAGATTCAGGTCATGCTCTAGTACGAACTCGTGTCTGTCAGCGTCTTAATGGACGTAAGAAAGAGACATCAAAGAAACCCCTCAGTGTCCTACTTAATAATATCAAACCTTTGAATATATTTCAGGAGCAACAAGAAGAACAGTTAAGCAGCCACATTGGAAATGCCCACCCCGAAGCAGCTTAGAATGATATCCCGAAATCTGTGGAAAAAGCAATGATATGTGCTAGGAATCCGACTGCTAGTGAGACTATCTGGGAAAAGGATAGTCTTATTATTCATTCTCAATCCAGGAGATTGGATCTATGAGCAGAACACTTAGGGGATTAGTTCAACTGGACTTCAATCACACTTTGGTTACCGACAATCTCCAGTCAACCTGGATGGCAAGTTGATATAGGTCCTCCAACTCTTAGTGACGATCTTTTTGCTTACCACTAATACTTCTACTACCTCTACTACTATGAGATTTGAGTTGACAGTTCGATCTCTGTGTGGTAATGTGTTGTGGCCACTTGAAATGATGTACTTACGCACGTAGTTCTACATTGTAGCTGACTGACTGACTACATACCACAGCATATCCAATGGTAATCTATTTCGGATGCCTAACCAAGCACATCCAACTAGAGTGTGTCTATTAAATTGAATGAGATCAGCATCAATGTTGAAAGCTTACAGAACTTTTTGGAATTTATTTACCACTACACTAATTTTTTAAAATCCAATGTACTTAGTTGAATAATACAGTTGATAATAATTTGTCAACTCCATTTGGATTATATATTTATGTGTTTATCTTTCTTGATAATATTTTTTAGAGTTTTATCTGATCCTCAAGAACGAGCTTGGTATGATAAACATAGAGCTCAAATTTTACTTGGTAATGGTCGTGATACTCAAATGGGTGGGACATCCGATTATCAAGAGAGTCGAGTTGATGTTTTTCAATATTTCACAAGATCTTGTTTTGAAAAATTCGATGATGATGTCAAGGTATGATTGAATAGTGTGTTCAAAATATATTCAATAACTATTGTATTTAAATAGTTCGTAAATTTGTTTAGTTATTATTATTATTATTATTATTATTATTATTACTAATTCATATTTCTAATTTTGCCCACATATGTTCGAGATAAGTTACTTAAAAAAAGAGGTTGTGAATATACTGTGAATACTTGTATTCATTTAGATGATGGTGACCGGGCTTGTATATCATGGTAGCTGATCAGAGCTATATTGATTGGAACACTAGTCCATTCAGGTCCTATCATATTGGTTACGTTTTTTAAAGATCAACAGAAATCAAAGCAAGGGCAAAGTTGTACTACCGACTGTATGAGGATTTAATGGGAGTGAGTTATCCTTTCTCTCGGACAACCAGCATTTGCAGTGATTTTGTCTTCTTCTCATGACGGAAGGAGGGGGTTTAAAAAGGTTGACCTTAAAAATAACACACTTCACATTACTTACGTAAGACCTCAAGGGATACTACCCCTAACTCCAAGTCTCATATAGTTGAAAAAGGAAAATTCAACTACTGCGAAAAAATCGTTACCCGATATGAGACAAATGGTAATAGAAGTATTTGGGCCTATTTGCATCAAGCTGGGCTGCCTCCTACGCCATATATGTGTACACCGTATGCCATACTGCTATATAGAGCTGTAGGTCTCCTATGAGACTAGAGGTTCGCTGTGAACATTGTAGATGGCTTGGCTTTGCTTTGGTAAGCATTGCTAACAGTCCATATACAAAATTAGTTAGCAGGGCGACTGATTTCATTGATATAGGTGGTTGTTTTGCAACATTCCCAAGAGCCATTATCATTGGAGTGCTGTATTGCATATCACCATTGCTAATAATAATGAGTTTGACAGTTATGTAAGCGGGATGAGTCGAGTTGGCCTGTTCATGCTGTGTATATTGATTGACGCGATCATGGATCGGAAATAATCACTACACATGTACTAGTGTATATAAGTGGTGTGAATAGTGCACCAGGATGTCAGGTACTTGTGTGGTTGCACCATGGGATTGAGCCGAACTGTTCACGTTGAAATGTTAACACGTGAGCAGTCTCTTTGATTCTCCTGAAAACCAATGTAAAATGATTCTTGTCAGTTGAGGGTTAATTTGTATAAATAAATTAAGAGTACTAAGCTAACACATCTAAGACTACTTACATAAATCCTATGTGTGATCAGGTTATGAGATCATACTTCTATATCGCATCAAGACCACCTCTAGCCCAGTTTCTTATTCAGTTATTTCAAGGAAGAAGCATTCTTTCACAGTGTGGGTAACTGGGAAGCGATCTCCCCCTTCATAGTTTTAACAGCACCTGAGTTCATTTCGTTCACAATCCAACTCCTCTTTTTATTACCTAATACACTTGTATGAGAAATTGTATACTTCGAATGCGTCATAAATAATCAACTAAATTTAGCAAAGATTCGTACATTCGACTATGATATTTATCTATTGTTTCAGTATCTATAAATTGGATTGTTTTGGAATCAGTAGTAGTTATCTAGCCAGTCACCAACAATTCGTATTAATTCGATCAATTAATCGATCATCATAGTACAGCCCATCTCTTATTGGGTTATCTTGAATTCTGCAGTGCATTTAAGGCATAACTAACCTAGAATATTTTTGTGATTGCTGTGTATATGTGTGTTACTGAGACATTTCAGCCCTTTAGAAGAAGGTTGCTTACATGAATCCAAGGTTTTTTGTTCTAGAGTTCATGATTTTAAGTAATTTTAAGGCGGGAAATAAAAGAATTAATCATAATAAATGATTAGAATCCAGTTGGCGATTTCATTTTGAATAGATTTGATCACTGAAAAGAGAATTACATGAAGATGTAATTCCCTTTTAGCCATCTTCTACATACTACTTATTTATTTAAAGTAGTTATAGTGATATTTTGTTATTTTTATGTTGTATAGGGCTTTTATACTGTATACGCTAAAGTATTTGCCGATATAACTAAAGAAGAAAAAGAGGCAGCTAGTTTTTCTGGTTATACTATATCATCTAGTGAAAGTAGTAGTGATGATGAAAATAATCATGGCCGAGTATCTGGACGTATATCACGAAATTATCCATCTTTTGGTAATTCATCAAGTTCATACAAAAAAGTTGTTGCTCCATTCTATTTATTCTGGGAAATATTTGAAACAAAAAAAACATATACATGGGTTGAAAAATATGATACACGACTTGCAGATTCACGTCAAGTAAGTATTTTTTTTTCGTTAATTTCTGCTGTGCAGTTTATTTAAAAGAAGGAAGGAAGGAAAGAAGTTACAGTAAAATCATAATTGACTTCCATTTTCAATACACATTCACTCAGTCAATCAGTCAGTTGCAACGCAGAACTACGTACGTATGTACATAAGTTCATGTTGCCATACCACATTAACACAGAGACGCAAATCTCAAATCAAATCCCATAGTGATAAAGATAGTAGAGGTATTAGTGGTAATGAAGAAGACTAGGGTTTGACGATATTATTCAAGAAGTATAATTAGGTGAAATAAGGTTAGAAAGACAAAGGTAGAGGTGCTGACGAATCCAGAAGATTAGGATTTGAGAGAGCTCAACGAATGGATGCACTTGCGCCATTGCAAACGATTTTGAGCCATGTCATTCAGAGTCTCTAACCATCGATTACTTTTGTCTCGCGAACCCCAACCAGGTAGTCTACATCTGCCAACATGACTCAGTCCACTAGTCAGTGATTTCATGGATTTCTGCCATGTTTTGGTCTGGCCACCCCTAGCTTTCTTCCAACCTACTCCTCTACACCACAAAAAATACACATTTAATCATAGAAGTTTAACTATTATTATCAAAATCTACCAGAATAAGGATTTAAAGTTTAACAATAGATTGTAATTCATCAACTGAGTTGTTAACTTTTTCGTTTTTCTATGATTCATGTATGCTGTATTGGGTCTTTGCTCTCGTGAACAAAGTTTGTACACAGTTGATTTTGTCAGTTCTTGGATTATTGCTATTGTAGTTAAGAATTAGACCTGTGTGAGTTGGCTCTCCTGTGTCATTTCTCGTGATTACTACATCCAGGAATGATAGACAGCTGTTTGATTCCTTTTCTATTGCGATTTCTTCAATGTGTGTGTGTATGCTCTATCCACCTCCAGCGCTTCTTGCTGATTTCTTACTCAGTGGCAATCTGGTCTGTTCCCTCCCACAGTAAGTTGTTGCTGATCGTGTTTGGTCAACGCATCTACAGTATCTTGTGTAGACAACTATTAATTAAAAACACATGTATCTTCTGAATGATGGATTAGGTGGTTCTCCCAGTCTTCATTGGTATTGAAAATTCTCACTTCGGTATTGATTGACAGTTGTTTTGAATTCCAGACGTTCTTTATTTGTAAAAATAATGCCTTTGCTTTGCTATTCCATGTCTTCAAATCTGCACTCAATCCACCTTGTGTATTAATGTTGCTGTAACTGCTGATGCCATGTCTTGATTCGGCCACTCATAGCTTTCTTTCAACTTACTTTTTCTCACTTTGCTATCAATAGATTGCAACTCATTAAATGAGTTGTTTTTGTTTTAAATTTGTAACAATAAATAAATAAAATTGATTTCTACTCATTTACAGTATCAACAAAAAAAAACAGTTTTAATTGAATGAATAAGTAAACAATGTTCCACTCCTTTTTTTCGTCTAAAACATATTTTTAAGTTCTTCAGTATTTCTCTTAACATGTACATTGTGACTCACTTTTATCTATCTATCGATTTCCTTTGTAATATTCCGGTTGAAGGTCTTAATTGATTGAAGATTGAATAAGTCATAAAATTCATTTCTTTCAGTCGCCTATGATATTTAATAATCTTTGTGTTTGTGAAGTTAGAGATCGGATATTAGACAAAGATAGATGGCTGATTGTTTGATGCAGTTGTAAATCTAGATCAACTGAAGTAGTCAAGATGTGTGCTATGTATGCCTTATCATCGTTTACGTCGATAGCCGATATTTGCTAGATTGAGAGTCGATTGGAGGAAAGCTAGAGGGAAACCAAAAAAGACATGCTGTTAGTCCATGAAGTCACCAACTGTTTGTCTGAGTCATGTTGGCGAATACAAACTACCTGGTTGGAGTCCTCGTGGTAATGGCGTTATAATGGTTAGACACTTTGGTAGAGATGATTCAGAATTCTGTACAGTTGTGTTTACTCTTTATGTCTCTGCTAATCTTGAGCTCTATTATACCTTAACATAAATTTTTCCTTGCTTGCCTTCTCGATCTCTATTCTTAATACTTAGTTTTTTTAATCGTCATTGATACTATTTTATTCCGATCGTTTGTTTCAGCTGTATATCTTGTTAACTTCATCTTGTCGTGCTACTTGAGTCAGTGTATGTTTATGTCAGACTCTGCGTTGACACTACTGACTTATCAAATAACTTATTTTTGTGACAATATTATGTTACACATTTTTTGAAACCATGAATCGATCAATGTTAGACCACCATTAGAAACCTGGAAGCACTGGACGGCCGTTTCGTCCTGGCATGGGACTCCTCGCGCACAATACCGAAGGTCCCGGGTTCGAATCCTACGGGGTGCAGGAGTCGTGGATGCGCACTGCTGAGGAGTCCCATACCAAGACGAAACGGCCGTCCAGTGCTTCCGTGTTTCTAATGGTGGTCTAACATTGATCGATTCATGGTTTCAAAAATGTGTAACTTAACAATCTTCACAACCCCATAATACAATATTATGTGTATAAGCCTCGTTCACTAGTCACCTATCACCTTGTCTGTTAATATCAATTCATTTAGTGGTTTCCATCGATAATTTTGTCTTTTATACAATTAATACTCAGTTATACCTTATCACTAGTTCTTTTTCTCCTCATATTGATCGGTTTTCTGTTCTGTTTATCGTAATAAAAATACTTACGACATGGATTGCAATTTAAAATTCTCTATTGTATCATCATAATTTATAGGAACGTCGTGCGATGGAAGCAGAAAATAATCGATTAAGACTAGCTGCTATAAGAAAACGTAATGAAGAAATACGTCAATTAGTAGCTTATGTGAAAAAACGTGATAAACGTGTTATTGCCGAGAATGAACGTATTCAACATGCTATTAAAGAAGCTCAAGCACGTACTCAGTTATTAGCTGCAAAAGCTAGACAACGGTAAATTGGAAACAAAATTTCATATCTTTTTAAATATATATATATATATATATATATACAAGCATTTGCGTTCAGTTTTGTTACATTGAATACATTATTTTCTATTATGATATGCTTGATATACTTGGAACTGTTACGAGTTCACCTTACTCGGTGAACGGAACGCAAGCAATCACTCTGTAACACGATAGGCTATCCTAGTGTGTTTGTCCCCAGCCCGGCTAAGTAGATTAAAAAGTCTTGATAAGGAGTAGATAATGTATTCTACAAGCACTGAGAAAATACTAGATTGCTAAGCACACAAATCAGGCTTATTTATATACAATGATAGCAACGCCCTTGGGGGAGAGCCAAAAAAATAGAGTACTAAAATAATGGATCAGTCAACGAGAACCAAGGATTTTCAGAGTGAGAAATGTAATCTCGAAGTCAACTGAGTAGCCTATGCGCGAAAACACAAAATTCAAAATTAGGATTTTTTCCAGGTGAGTTCTGGGGATCTAACGTCCCCAACAATATTTCTGTGAGATATGATGACCTTAGTAGACAATCATTCAGTGCCAAGAAGTATTGGATTAGGCTGTTTTGATCGTAGTCTCGAACTTTGCTACCGTTTGTATTCACAACCTTAATCGGGTTTCGAACATAGGACCCCTCAGATTTATTGTTGTTGTGGATGTTAGATCTCCAGAACTCGCGTGACAAATGTCTTATTTTGAAATTCACGTTTGCGAGCATGGGCTGATCAGTTGACACTGAGATTTCATTTCCCACCGGGAAAATCCTTGGCTGTATTTGGCTGCCGTGTATTTTAGTGTGCTATTTTTGTGACTGTCCTAAGGACATCTCTATAAAGTATAAATAAACGCGATTTGAGTGCTTGATTGCATTGTGCTTGTTGGGTGTTTGTAGAATATATTTTCTACGCTACATCAAGACTTTTTATTAGTCAGCAGATCAGGATAGCCTACCTAGAGGCTGGTTCATTGTCTCGTTCGCGTTCATCGACTAATGTGAACACGTAATAGTTCATGCATAGTTTCAAGCATACCTAGTAACGAACCTAACAGTTGTGGTTTAAGCTTCTGGTTATAGTGGGAGCTGTATTGCTAAGGAGTTCCAGATCGTAATGAAACAGTCGTCTTTAGCGGTTTCTTAGTTTCCAATAATTGCTCAATTTAGGTCAGTTTGGTATGCGAACTATAACATAGATACAATTCATTGTTCCTTAATTGAGAGACTAAAAATAAGTGACTGAACCATTATCGTTCGCTTACCAGTACACACTGACTATCTAGTTTGTGAAGGTATAAAAAAAATGAGATGAACCACCATCATTTCATATTTCACATTGACATAGAGTATTTGATATATATTTTTTGTCTCCTCTCTCTTGTTACTATCATCAATATGATGAATGACATGAAGTCAATAAAAAGTGTACTAAGTCATGTTGGCAGATGTAGGCTACTTGGTTGGGGTCTGCGAGACGAAAGTCACCAATAGTTTGAGACCTTGAACGAAATGGCTCGAAATCTTTTGTGCAATGGCGCAAGTGTATCCACTCTTTGTGTTCTCTCTAATTCTAACCTGAATTCCTCATAATCTCTATCTTTCTCCTTCTCTATTTATCTCACTGAATTATACTTCTCCAATCATATCTTTACTCCTTACTGCTAATACTTCTTTTATTGCTATCACTCTTGGATTTGAACTGACAGTTGCGTCTCTGTTCTAATGTGGTATAACAACTTGAACTGAACTTACATACGACGTTTTGCGTTGTATCTGTCTGATATGATGAATGAATAAATTAATGTTGGTATGTATAACATTTGAATAATACTCAGTCTACTGTAATTTGAATCATATTTTTATTTTTTTACATTAGGATAAAATATGATAAATTGTACTAAATAAAAAAAAAAGTACAAGAAATAATTCCAGTTAATGAATAAGTACAATTTTTTCTTTGTTATATGAATTATGCTAAAAGAAGAGAAAAAAATATAGAAACGATTTCCCATTGAATATTTCAAAATGATCTATTAGTGGTTTCAGGATTACTTACTTACTTACTTACTTACGCCTGTTACCCACCCAATGGAGCATAGGCCACCACCGACCAGTTTTCTCTAACCAACTCTGTCCTGGGCTTCCCTTTCCAGTTCTTTCCAACTTTTGTTCATTCTTCTCATATCTTTCTCTATTTCTCGGCGTAATGTGTTCCTTGATCTTCCTCTTTTCCTTTTGCCTTCGAGGTTCCATGTGAGGGCTTGTCTTGTGACGCAGTTAGATGCTTTTCGTAGTGTGTGTCCTATCCACTTCCACTGGTTCTTCCTGATTTCCTCCTCCACTGCAATCTGGTTTGTTTTCTCTTACAGTAGGTTGTTCTGATGTTGTCTGGCCAACGGATCCTCAGTATCTTGAGTAGACCACGGTTAATAAACACCAGTACCTATAGAATGATGGATTTGGTAGTTTTACAAGTTTCCGCTCCATACAGTGGAACTGTCCTGACATTTTTATTGAAAATCTTGATTTTGGTGCTAGTAGATACCCTGGGATAACTGTGGAATTTATATAAAATCTGATATTTTCTCAGTGTATTCACTTGGATTAGCTGGCTGCTTGCTTGGAACAGAATTCTGTTTCGGATCTAGTGATGTTTCATTTGGGGAACCAGTCAAATGAAGAAGTAAAGTGTCCAAGAATGCTAGGTCGTAGAAGGACAGCAGGCCAAAGTGAAAGACTTGACAAGCTTATTTATTGATTTAATGAAATAACTTGACGCATGTTGTGTTATATCATAGAATCATCTGCGAAGTCCAGATCGTCCAGCTGCGTCCTAGCTGTCCAGTTGATACCGTGCTTCCTTCCAGATGTTGACGTCTTCATAATCTAGTCGGTCACTAGAAGAAAGAGAAAGAGTGAGAGTAAGCAATTTTGCCTGACACCGCTCTTCACCTCAAACGAGTTTGTCAGCTGACCTCCGTGCACGATTTTGCAGTTGAATCCATCGTAAGAATTCCGTATAATGTTGACTATTTTCTCAGGCACACCGTAGTGTCGAAGAAGCCTCCATAGTGGTTTCAGGATGCATGGTCAATAAAATGATAATTGACGATAATGTTGTGTTATTTACTGGTTTGTAGTATATATATGCATATATGAAAATACTGTAGCTTTTGTAGAATTTATAACGTATTTACTTCGGAATTCTTTACTTCAAATAGTATCCGTCAGGCCTGTACATTTCTCCATTCCTATTTAACTTTATCGTAGACATGCTTTTAGAGTTAGCATTATCCTCATCAGAATCTTCAGGTATGGACCTTCTACCAGGAGATTTGCTTATTAACCTAGAATATGCTGGTGACATAGTCGTATTATAGGTGGAGACGCTGACAAAATGCAGTATTCTGGCTACCTTAAGCAACAATGCAACCATGTTCGGGATGCGGTTTCCCCTCCACCTTGAAATGCAAAATGTTGCTTCAAGATTGTGTTTCATCGGTACCTGAACTAGTGAGTGATAGGGGAGTGAAGTAGTCGGGCGTGTTGACCGCTTCACTTATCTGGGGAATCTCATCAGTGCCGATGGCCTGGTGACTGACGAAATCTCAGCTCGGATACAGAAGGCTCGATTGGCTTTTGCCAAGTTACCTCACCTATGGCGTAGGCGAGATATCCGTTTGCTAACTGAAAGACGGGTATACTGCGTATCAGTTCGCTAGGTAAGGATGGCAGATCAATAGATGAAGTAGTGAATCTTCATCAGTTTAGGTGGTTGGGAATCGAGTACGTATGCCCAACCATGGACTGCCTGAGCGAGTGGTATTTTGTGGTGTAAAAATAGGTTGGAAGAAAGCTAGGGGCGGCCAAACAGAAACATGGCAGAAATCCATGAGGTCACTAACAAGTGGACTGAGTCATGTTGGTAGATATAGAATACCTGATCGAAGTCCACGATCTGGTTGGAGACCTTCAACGACATAGCGCAAAATCGTTTTCAGTGGAGCAGGTGCATGCACTCTTTGTGTTCTCTTAAATTCTAGCCTTCTGAATTCCTCATTATCTTCATCTTTCTCTTTCTATCGTTATCTCACTGAACTATATTTCTTCAATAATATCTTCGATCCCTAATATTCTCCATTACTGCTAATTCTTCTACTATCTCCGCCACTCTTGGATTTGAACTGACAGATGCTTTTCTGTGCTAATGCCGTATGAAAACCTGAACTAATGTACTTACGCACGAAGTTCTACGTTGTATCTGACTAACTGATTTACTGCAACAGACAAGTAAATACTCCGACAAAAAAGATTTCATTATGGATTTTGTAAGATGATGTTGGAATTATCGAAATTGTATTTGATTTGAAACTTTATCAAAACTGTACTTTATTGTTATATATATATATATATTGCAAACTTACAGTTTTTATATTTCTCTGTCTATTTTGATCATGCTGTATTTATTACAGTGAAGCAGCTCTATTAGACGAAGCATGGAATGATGAAATCGCTTACGGTGGCATTGGATCTCAATGGTCGGAACAATTTGAAGCTGAGCTAAAACGTTTGGAAGCGGAACTTGATGGTATGAATGTTGACGATTCAGTACAGGTGATTCATTACATCTGTGATGATAATTCATATTGTTGAACATAATTTTTGAAGTTATATCAAAGTGTAGACTATGGATTGCCTGTAAAATTATCCTACTGTGAAATATTTACTATGGTAGTAGTGTGATAGTGTTCTATAAGTAGTATTACTGAAGGTGTATAATTTATTTCTCTCAGTTTGTACTCATGGAACTTGATTAGTCCAGTTTAGACTTGAATGTAGGTACTCTGTCATCAAATGAATTAGTTACATCAAGTGATCTTCAGAGTTGCTTATTTTTTTATAAGATGTGACTAATGGAATTCAACCCTGTCGGATGTAGGCAGTAACTACCAAAGACAAATGGGTGAGGTCGCGCAAAATCCCTAGATCAATCAGAGTTAGACATTAACACCGTTGGATGCCGGCCAAGTGGTCCGATGGTTAGGCGCTCACGCACAATACCGAAGGTCCCGGGTTCGGATCCTGTGAGGTGCAGGAGTTGTGGATGCGCACTGCTGATGAGTAGTCCCATACCAGGACTTGACGGCCGTCCAGTGCTTCTTCCAGGTATCTAATGGTGGTCTAACAATGATTGATTGATGATTTCAAATGTGTATAAATTTTTAATTTATGTCATCGTAGATATTCTCCTTAAAAAGTATATTCGATCTCTTTGTCTGATTCCTCTCTCAATCAATCCCATTTATCAGGTGATTTTTAATCTCATGTTTAATGAGCATACCTAGTGAAATTTAATCATTCGAGCACTTTAAGTGATAATCTAAATATATTCGACACACATTTCACATATTCTCTTCTAACGTCATTTCAGGTTATTATTATTATGACTTCAACAGTTCACTGCTATGTGTTCATTGTTCAATAATCCCGACCGTAGCTGCTTCCTTGACGTGGTGGTCGGACTTGCCTATCATGATGACCCAACCGAGCTATGTTGGCTGGAACATATGTTCCTGAAGGTTCTACCATGCCAGGCAGGTCGATTGGAGAACGATCAGACTAAAAGCAGCTACTCCAGGTCTGAGGGCGAAGTCGTACTGCTGACTGACTGCAGAGGGGTGTGACAGCAGTAAGGTGTTTCCCTCGGACAACCAGCATCTGCAGCGATGCTGCCTTCTCACAAGGAAGGAAGGGTTAGAAAAGGTCGGCCCTAAAAATGTCACACCTCACCCTACCTCACGGATTTCCGTCTCCTTGGGTAAGGGTGCCCACTAAGGGCCTTTAAGAACGTAGCTAATCCTCTAAATACCTTTCATCAAAAGGCCGTGCGTGACCGGCCTCAAGCAGTTGTCCCTTGGACTCTGCGGTCACGCACCAACACTAATCCATCTTCCTTTACAGGTCCCTCAAGAAACAACCTTCCACAGTGTGGGCAGCCGGGAAGTGACAACCGCCCTCATACCCGTAACAACAAACGAGACGAAATTGGTCGAAATCAAATCCTCCCAACACCCACACATACATCTCTTATCTCCACGACTAACTCTCCTCACATTCATTTATCACAGTGCACCGCTAATGAAACGATGCGAGTTCACGAAACGTCATTCCTGACCTCTTGAAACCCCGTTCTAAACTACATGTTGGAGCATTTAATGTTCGGACGTTGTGTCAAATAGGGCAACAGGCATCATTAGCTAGGACTTTGGAATCTCGTGTCATCGATGTATGCTGCGTCTCGGAAACGCGCATACAGGATCCTAGTATAATTATCAATCTAATCTCACCTTGTCAAAATAAAGAAGCCGTTCGATTTACTCTTCGTGTATCCGGAAGCCCTGATGCTGCTTTCAGGGGTCTTGCTGGCTTAGGTATAGCATTGTTCAATAATAACATTATAGTATCGCTTCTAAAACTGATTACACATGTTCAATTTCACTATTTTCAAACTTGTATTATTGATTTTTTAAAACCTTGTTTTCTCTTTTCTTCTGACATTCAGAACTGTTCTACAATGGATTATAATCGAACAACCAATCATCATCATCATCCTAACAATTCTGTTAATCACACGAATGATGCTTTGAATCCTGATGAAACTACTGAACAACTTGATAATTTAACAACTACTGATCATGAAGAAGAAATCGATGAACAGTTGTACTGTGTTGCATGTGATAAATTATTCTCTTCCATAAAAGCTAAATTAAATCATGAATTATCTAAAAAGCATAAAAAACAATTAGAATTTCTACGAAAAATAATTACTGATCAAGATGATGCACATTTCAATTCTATATTACTTAATGAAGAATCCGTGAATACTACTGAAAATAATTCTTCAGTAGTAGGAGTAGAAAATCAACAATTGAATAATAATAATAAATTAACAAAACGTGCGAAAAAAGCTGAACGTAAACGAAAAAAAGAAGCTGAATTACAACAACAATCATCAAATAGTAATATTAATAATAATAATAATACTATAAATGAACAAGAAAATGCTACAAATGATTTAAACACACAAATGAACAATGATCATGTTGATATGGTCAATAATGATATCAATGGTAGTAGTGGTAGTAGTGTAGTGAAGGAGAACACAGGTGAGGTCAACCGAATTGTATTTAACGAGAATTACAGGGTTACTCAGTAAAATAATAGGAAAACCATATCGTAAACGGTTAATTTGCAAATCTTTCAATCCATCATCAATCCACTGTCTGACCTTTCACCACTGTTCATGCGTTTCATACAATCTCCATTGTGTTCTCGCTCTTCCTTTCTTGATCTTCCCCCATCTTCTGCTGCTAGACATTACGTTTTTACTTGCGTCATATACTACTTATAAGTGGCGCGCACCACAGTGGTAGTAGGAAGCCAAATACGGATTGAGTTGCATGAATTTCTTCCAGGCGATCGTTCACGCAAACAGACATTGAGGATAAAAAGTGGAAAAGCTGAATGATGTGAAATGAAGAAGGCGAGTAAGCCAAATCAATGAGCTAGGTTATGAGCAAAGTATTCATAGTCAGACAGAATGGGCTGGAGATGTAATAAGCGAAGTAATAAGCAATGCATATTCACACTCAAGTAAAAACAACTAAGGTTGTAAGCGAATGGTTTGACCAACGTTGAAGGAAATATGAATTGTAACTCGGGTAGAAAAGGTTAATTAGTTTGTTCAAAGGCTGAGACAAGCCTTGTAGGCTCGACTTATTTAGTACACACACCTCACGCTAATCGTTTCTCTGCTCATGCTATTGGTAATACATATAAAGGGGTTTCTAGGTTCATTTTATATACACATAAAATAATGTTGCTTTGTGGTTCAAACTCCAGTTCACCATAAGGAGTTCAAAAAAATTAGATTGTTACTTGTTGATCTTCAAATGAAACTTGACTAAACGACGTTCTTTTTTTGGTTGATACCATTTTGTCTGTACTACAGCTGTGTTGTTTATCCCGTTAAATGAATTTATTGTTTCTACACAGTTTAGGTTTAGTTGAAGGAGTTTTATGAAAATTGATTTAATTTATAAATAGCGGTTTGTATTTGTCAGGATGGTTAGAGACCCTGAATGTCAGTCAGTCAGATGCAACGTAGAACTTCGTACGTAAGTACATCAGTTCATGTTGCCATACCACATCAGCACAGAGATGTAATTGTCAATTCAAATACAATATTAGAAGAGGTAGTAAAGGTATTAGAATTAATCGGAGAGGTTAGGATTAGAAGATATTATTCAAGAAGTATGATTCATTGAGAAAAGTTTAGGAAGTCAACAATAGAGGGGTTGAATAATCCAGAAGATTAGGATTTGAGAGAACACAAAGAATAAATGCACCTGCGCCATTGCGAACGATTTTGAGCCATGTCATTCAGGGTCTCTAACCATCAATTATTATCATCTCGCGGACCTCAACCAGGTAGTCGACAACTACCGACATGGCTAAGTCCACTCGTCAATGAGTTCATGGATTTATGCCATGTTTTGGTTTGGCCGCCCCAAACTTTCTTCCAACCTACTACTACATTACAAAACAAAGCTCGTCTAGGCAGTCGATGATTAGGTATACTCAGCATATGTTTGCCTAACCATCGACCCTGAATGATATGGCTTAAAACCGTTTGCGATGGTGCAGGTGTATTCATTCTTTGTGTTCTCTCAAATCCTAAAATTTTTAATTATTCATCACTTTATCTCCTTAAGTCTATTTCACTAGATTCTACTTCTTGAATAATATCTTCTAATCCTAACCTATCTGACTACTACTAATACCTCTACTACTATTGAATTTGAATTGACAATTACATCTCTGTGCTAATGTGGTACGGCAACATGAACTCATGTACTTACGTACGAAGTTCTACATTGTATCTGTCTCTCTCAATGGTATTGAAATAATGATCACGCTATTTTAAACAAATTGATCAAAGTTGTATCACTGAACTTTATTGTTCAAGTGGTTCATAGGTTAACGACTCGCCGCTGTAAGACAGCCAGCGATAAAGATCCTTGATTCAACCATTGGTTGTGGGTACACATTGTTAAGCAGAGAGGATCCTCCTTCATACCAGATCAAATCACCAGTTCAATTTCTCCCTAGCTTCTTCAACAACAACACATCAATTAAGATCGGTCGCTAGTGTTAATTTATTTTTGTCTAACAGAAAGAAATACATTTTTTGACATTTACAAATTATACAATTTTGTGGTAGGTTTTTTTTCCCCTGCATCATTCATTCATTCATTGTTTTTTTCTGTTAACGATAGGCGTATCAATGATCTAACTAGCCTGACATGTCTAAATCACAGTATTTATCAATTGTTTTTTTGTCTCCTCATGTTCTAAGCATATTTCACCAAAATGACAGGTTACAGATGATGTTTTTTTTTGCGGAGTTGTTTTATGGAATACTATTTCTTATCTGAAAAGAAAAACACACACAGTCTAAATGTATTTTGTGCGTAAATGTATGGTATGTACTTGTATTTCTTTGTTTGTTTGTGTTGTGTTGTGTGTGGTGTGGTGTCTAATGACGGTTCTTCAATCGTTTACCCTTAATATACGTACGTATATAGTAGTATAGTGTAGTGTATAACTGTCAAAATATTCTAGTTGTATGATTATTTTTGGTTTAAACAACAACTTTGTAAAAAGTTAGTTTTTCAACCATCATTCATCATTGAATTGACTAATCATCATTACTTGTTTGAAATAAGTTTTTTCTTTTTTTTTTTACATCTATCTGATAAAACTATAACATAACAATTATGACACTTGTACACTGCTGATTCAACATTTTGACAATAGGGATTGATGTCACTTGGGGTTAGATATTTACTAATGCAATGTGGGGCAGGTGCATTGATTGTCTTTGTGTTCTCGTGAATTCTAATCTTATGAATTCTTCGTTACCTCTGCCTTTCTCTTCCTAAAGTTATCTCGCTGAATTATTCATCTTGAACCCTAATCTTGTTTATTACCGCTAATACTTCTACTGCTATCTCTACCATAATGGGATTTGAATTGACGATTGGGTCTCTGTGCTAATGTCGATATGGTAGTAACCTGAACTTATGTATGTACGTGTGAAGTTCTACGTTGTCATTGACTGACTGACTGACTGAATGCATTCGTTATGATAGTCTGGTTAAGAAAATATCGGCAACAACAATTAAACTGTTTTATTGAACATTTTAAAAATTTATATTCTTAAAGGATTCAAGCATAGTGTCTCTCTGTTTTGGTAAGAAATGATATATATATATATATATATGCATTGAATTATTTCATTATTTACATATAGACAATTGAAGAAGTCTCATTGTAGTTGACAATTATATTGAATAGTGAAGTGTTAATCAGCTTGTTATTGGCATTTTGAAATCCGTAGCCATCGTTTACTTTTTTCATGCTATATTGATGATAGACAGACAGATAAATACAACGCAGGACTTCGTACACCAGTTCAGGTTGCCATACCACATCAGCACCGACACACAACTGTCAGTTCAAATCCAAGAGTGATAGCGATAGTATAATTATTAGCAGCAATTGAGAAGATTAGGGAGCGAAGATATGATTCGAGAAGTATAATGCAGTGAGATAAATTTAGAAAGAGAAAGATAGAGATGATGAGGAAATCAGAAGGTGAGAATTGGAGAGAACACAAAGAGTGGATGCACCTGCGCTATTGCAAACGATTCTGAGCCATGTCGTTCAAGTTCTCTAACCATCGGTGACTATTGTCTCGGGTACCTTAACCAGGTAGCCTACATCTACCAACATGACTCAGTCCACTTGTCAGTGACTTCATGGATTTGTGCCATGTTTTGATCTGGCCACCCCTAGCTTTCCTCTTATCTACTCCAACACCACGAAACATAGCTCGTCGCGGTAGTCGGTGTTTAGGCATACGTAACACATGTCTGAACCACCTCAACTGATGAACGGCCAAGTCTCGCATCCGTACAGTAGGACGGAGCGAACTGCTGTACAGTACACCCGTCCTTTGGTTAACAAGCGGATATATCGCCTTGGCCATAAGTGACGCAGGTTGGCAAGATCTAATCGAGCTTTCTGTATCCGAGCTGAGATTTCGTCAGTCACTAGGCCATCAGCACTGATGAGACTCCCCAGATACGTGAAGCGGTCAACACGTTCGACTACTTCACTCCCTATCACTAGTTCAGGTGCCGATGCAACCCAATCCTGAAGCAACATTTTGTATTTCTTGGGTGAGAACCGCATCCTGAACATGCTTGCATTGTTGCTTAGGGTGGTGAAAAGGCTCTGCATTTTGTCAGCGTCTTCACCAAATAGAACTATGTCATCGGCTTATTCTATGTCAGCAAGCGTGGCTCCTGGTAGAAAATCGACTCCTGAAAACTCAGACGGGGATAAGGTTATATCTAGCAGCATGCTATATTGATGAATTCATGTATGGAACTGTGAACTAAAGTTACATTGTTTGAAGATCGGTGATACGACTTACTGATTGTTTAGTCCATCGGAATAATTTACCTCACGTCTCTGTTGGTTTCGTGAATGATTTAGAAGTAAAAATATATGTATACATAGTGAATGATTTTACGATTAATAATGAATAACTTCCGCGAAAAAGCTTAAATTCATGATGAATAGACTCAGCAGCAACAGTCGACTCTCAGCATAGAAGAACACAAAAGTGACCATATGATCGAACCGATAATAATTGTATCGACTAATAATAGTACAAGTTAGTTTACGATTGACCAGTGAAATGAAAGCAAAAAAATCGCTTGATGAAAACTACTTACTCATGAGTAGCGTATTTTTAACAAATGATTATTTTAGTCAATGCAAAATGTTTGGATTTTCACAAGATGAAAGTTACACCAGATTTTGAAACAGTAATTTATGGTTATGGTTGTCCGATCTGCACGTGTGATTATCTTGAAGAGTATTCAACAAAGAGTTAGTAAGAGATGCTTTACAATGCTTCACAATATTGATTAATACAGTAGAATCTGGGAACTGGAGGTAACCCCATCCGACTGGCCTCAATCCCTGATTGTGCGGTTATCACTCTTGAAATGCAAAATATTGCTTCAAGATTGGGTTGTCTAGGCATCTGAACTAGTGGTAGGGAGTGAAGTATTTGAGTGTGTCTTCTGCTTCACTTATCTCGGGAGTCTCATCAGTGTTGATGGCCTGTAGTAGGTTGGGAGAATGCTAAGGGCGGCCAAACCGAAACATGCCAGAAATCCTTAATATCACTTACAAATGGACTGGGTCATGTTGGTTGATGTAGGCTACTTGGTTGGAGTTCCGCCAAATGAAAGTCACTGATAGTTAGAAACCTTGAACGACATGTATCAGAATCGTTTGCAACGGTACAGGTGCATCCACTCTTTGTATCCTCACAAATCTTAATCTTCTGGATTCGTCAACACCTCTGCTTTGTTTTCCTAAACCAGTATGTGACATCAATCCATGAACTCTTGATAGTTTCATCGTATGCAGCAAATTAAACTTTGGCATATCATTTCCAGGTTTTACATTGTTTCTCAGATTGATCAATAATCTCAATCATATTTGACTAATGATTTAAGATGTATGTTATTTTCTATCCTGTAGATCCTACAATATCATTATCGACATTAAACAATGTAAATACACCTACTATAACTGATCATGACAAAAAATCATCATCATCAACACAGCCTAATCAACAATCAGTAAACAGAGTAATAAAACAAGTTGACAAAATTCAATCAAATCCAATTATCTGTGATACATGTTCAAAAGAATTCGAATCAAGAAATGCACTTTTCGCTCATTTAAAAGAATCAGGACATGCAAAATTGAAATTAAAAAGTCAGTTGGATGATAATGTAAAAAAGTCTAAAGAAAGAAAAAAGTCAAAACGTTAATTCTTTGTAGAATGATTTTGTAATTTTTATTGATTTTATATATATATATTAAAGAATTTGTATATATATATTTATGTATGGATTCATATAGAAGCATATTTTATTGAGTTGTATTTTTAATTTTATGAATATTATGTTAGGATATTTGATTTGTAGGGGTTGATGCTTTTCCTTTGTTAATATTCAGTACAATAGTTTCATCTTGACTGTGTTATGTTAAGATACATGCGAACCTTATTGCCTGAACTGACTACTTGAGCAAGAAGGGAAGATTGAAAGTGAATGTGTATTTGGCTAATACTATCTATCATATGTATAAAATAAATCTATTTTTTAACCAATGATGTGGGTTCGTCTTTTAGGATATATCTGATGGTCATCAAATGGCTTTCTCATTCGACCACTTTTGATTGGTTCACTGTGTTAGATCAGTTCCAAATTACTAATATTTAGTTGCAAGTGTTTATGAAGGTCGTGTCTTTGAAGCATTGCTCGTATACCGTAGGACAACCGAGTAAGCAATGCTGTCGTTACTAAACGAGTACTAGGCAAGGATGGCAGATCAATCGATGAAGTGGTGAAACTTCATCAGTTGAGGTGGTTGGGACATGTGCTGCGTATGCCTAACCACCGACTGCCTCGTCGAGCTATATTTTGCGGTGAAAGAATATGTTGGAAGAAAGCTAGGGGCGGCCAGACCAATGCAGGAATTCACTGACAAGTGGACTGAGTCATGTTGGTAGGTGTCGACTACCTGGTTGGGGTCCACGAGATGTTAGTAATTGATGGTTAGAGACCCTGAATGACATGTCTCAAAACCGTTTGCAATGGCGCAGGTGCATTTATTCTTTGTGTTCTCTCAAATCCTAAACTTTCCTAATTCTTCGTCACTTTATCTTTCTAAGTCTATTTCACTAGATTCTACCTCTTGAATAATTTCTTCGAATCGTAACCTCTCCGACTACTGCTAATAGCTTTACTACCTCTACTACTATTGGATTTGAATTGACAATTACATCTCTGTGCTAATGTGGTATGTCAACACTAACTGATGTACGCACTCACTTACGAAGTTCTACGTTGCTATAGATTGACTGATTGATGAAGGTCGTATAGTGTCCGTTAGTGGTGTTACTATGTACTTTCAGCTGGAGCCATCTGCATCATATATTTAATATGCACACTGAGACGACGGGAGTCAATACCTTTCGCGTAAAATACAAACGCATTATCCATTAAACTACAAAGTCTACATTCATTGAATAAGTTATATTTTATTAGGAGTCAGTACTTCAGAGGATCACATGTCAGAGTTTGAAGAGATAGTATGTACTGGATTTCATTCCTTGTGTGAACAAGAAGATTAATACTTGCAAACAGGACACTTAGCCTAGCTTAGTTTTAAGCAATTTTGAACTATTCAAACTGTTAGGTATTTGACAAACAACTCTACTTGATCTAAGTTTCATCAGCAAGGTGTAATCATGAAGACACTGATGCACCCAGGAGAATCCGATCCTGTGTCATCCAACTACTTCATAGGACGAGACATTACTGCTAAGTTTTTAAAATTTTAGAACACCACGGTTAAATGAAATACGACAATAGATCAATTTTTACAATTACACTAATAGTGACATTTAACTACAATAGACTGTTGTAGGTATAATAATATAACTTGGCAATATGTCATTTTCACTTATTACTCATTATACATTGTTGTTTTGTATTTTTTTTTACTTACAAAAGACAATTTTGCATGAAATTCAACATAGAAGATTTGCCTTTTTGTGTTTTTTTAAACAAATTAACGAATTTCTTTTTTAAAAGATTAGCAAGAGAGTAAGGGAGAATAAGAGCGAGAGTGAGCGAGAGAGAGAGAGAGAGAGAGACGAGAAAAGACGAAAACCGGACAATACACTTGCTATAAAATGCCTTTAGGTTTTTCTATTTTTTGTTTTGCTGATACAATATTGACAATGATTAGTTTTAGTTTTTTTTTTGTTGATAATTTTCATTATTGTAGTAAAGAGACAAAAATCAAACATGGATCATTAGAAAGCTCGACATAACCATACTGATTTGTTATTATGATAAGCATTTGAAGTAGAAAAAAAATATTACCGGTATTTTATGATTAATAGTAAAATGTACAGGGAGATTTAGGTGGTAAAAACAATATAAATTTTCAGGTGTAGATCGCTTTTAATGTTTTTCTGTTTTTAAGTTAGTTAAATGTTGATAAGAAGAGTATAGAAAGTAAGGAGATGACTTAGTGAGAGTAGTTTAAGTCATTGTCAAATCCCTAAGTGAAATAAAAAGAAAGAAAATGTTTAATGTAGTCAAAATACTACTATTATTATTATCGTGATTTATATAACATGTAGTGCATTACGACGTTGTGAAGATTTTTAAGTTACACATTTGAAATCATAAATCGATCAATGTGAGACCACTATTAGGAACCTGGAAGCACTGGACGGCTGATTCGTCCCGGTATGGGACTTATCAGCAGTGAGCGGGCACGACTCCTGCACCACGCAGTACTCGAACCCAGGACTGTCGGTCTTGTATGAGGTTGCGCGTGACCATGAATTGATCAAAGTAAGACATTAACACCGTTAGATACCGGCTCAGTGATCCAGAGGTTAGGCGTTTGGGTGCAAGATCGAAGGTCCTGGGTTCGAATCCTGCGAGGTGCAGGAGTCGTAGATGCTCACTACTGGTGAGCCCTATATCAGGATGAAACGGCCGTCCGGTGCTTCCAGGTTTCTAATAATATGTAATGGTCAATTGATGGCCTAGGATTAAAGGAAAAGAGATAAACCGTGGAACACACTGCGCTGAGAATTGGAAACAGACATGAAAATAATGAATAACAGTTGGAAAGAATTGGGAAGGAAGGCCTAGGACAGAGTTGATTAGGGAATGCTAGTCACGGTGGCCTATTCTCCATGAAGGAGAACAGGCGTAATTAAGTAAGTAATGGTCTAGGATAAATATACTTTAATTCAAGTTGCGAATATACATTCACATTGTGTGATAAAATAAATTACATGAATAACTAGTAAAACTGAAATCATATTATAGCCATAGTAATAAGTGTTGAGTATGTGGTTCGAAAAGATAGAATGAAAAGTTATGTATGATCGAATAATAAAACTAAGTATCTAGAGCGAAATAAAGAGTAAATCTGTCTGCGACATTATGACCTATTCTGTAGTTGTGTCTTATTTTGCGAACTTCAACAAGGTGTTCTGCATCAGACATTCATATATTTTCAGTTTGAGTTATGTAGATTAGTGTTTTTACATATTGAAATCATTAATCAACCAATGATTGTTAGACCACCATTAGAAACCTTGACGGCAGTTTCGTCCTGGTTTTTCGGTCTTTCACCCGAACGCCCAAACTCTGGACCACTGAACCGGTATCTAACGGTGTTAATGTCTAACTTCGATCAATTTATGGCCGTCTAGTGCTTCCAGGTTTCTGACGGTGGTCTAACATTCATCGATTCATGATTTCAAATGTGTAACTTAATAATCGTCACAACCCCGTAATACAGTTTAAAATATTTTAAATCAATATTGTATGACTGATAAAATGTCCTCAATTGGAGCATTATTAGGCATCAGAGAATATTGGACAGCCTTTTCGTCATCATATAGGACCTAATAACAGTTCTCACTTTAAACTTAATACAGGACCTTCAAGTCTCACTGATGGTGTCTACCAATGCAATTCCTTTTCCAATCAACTTACGATATACATCGTTGACCATTCAATTTGATTCGTGACAATAATTTCACTCTAGACTTGTTTAAACTAAACTAGCCACAACTTCAAAAATATATTGAGATAACTCACTAATGACAAAATAAATTTTGTAGAGCATTATTTATTCCTTACATTGTAGACCAGAATACGGTGAATAATATTAATCAATGACTAATACAACTTAAACCAACAAATTTAAACAACGAAACCAAAACCGAAGGTCTTGGGTTAGAACTCTGAGAGTAGCAGGATTCGTGGATGTGTCCTGCTGATGAATCCCATACCAGGACGAAACGGACGTCCAGTGCTTCCAAGTTTCTAATGGTGGTCTAACATTCATCGATGCATGATTTCAACGAAACCAGGTTATACATTTGAAATCATCAATCAATCATTGTTAGACCACCATTAGAGACCTGGAAGAACTGAAAGACGGCCGTCAAGTCCTGGTATAGGACTCATCAGCAGTGCACATCCACGACTCTTGCACCTCGCAGGATTCGAACCCGGAGCTGATGATTTCGAATGTGTAAAAACACAAAAACTCCCAAAACTCTGCCCGAAAACCAATTTGGCTAATCTACTAGAATTTCCCTCAGTTTATTTATTTTCTGAATACAGAATGATTTTATCATTTATCATAGTATTTTATCGATTCACAACATTTAAGCCCTTCATCATTCACGGTTCCATCATCATTCTTTTTATTAGAATATTTTCATTATAAAACTTCAATGTTTTTGTTATAGTCACATTTATTGAGTTAAACAAGCAATACACAAAATTATGTATCTTATGTGTATATACAAACAACTAACTACTTACTAAACCAATAATATGTACAAATATCAATGTTCATTTATATAAATTTCATATTCATAATTGATTCAATTTTCAATAGTCAATATTCAACAGAGAGAGAAGAGATTAGCATCATGAATTAACTAACTTTGAAAAGGTTGAATTTTTTTGATGATAAGAATTGAATTATCTATGTAACGAACATATTTTCTGTTGTTATTGTCATCGTTATAGCAATAATAATAATAATAATAATCTTATTTATGATAACAATTATTCAATTGTATTCAATAAGAAAATGTAAAGAAAAAAAAATGAAGATTAAATTTTTCGCTAATTGATGATGATGATGATGATTCATAAAAGATTCTGTCAAATTTAATTATCTACTGATCATGTAATCAGTCGGTAAGTAGTAGTTATTATTGAATGAC